TAAAACTTGGGTTTTCTCATTTTTTGCACTTAAAACACAATATTTCCCAATTTCTCTTTAAACATTTTAAAGACCTTTAAAACATCATTTGGTATATAGAATTGTTTTTGTTCGGTTATCGGTTACGTAGAAAATAAAAAAAAATGTAAATTTAAAATTTAAATTTAATTCTTTTGGAGAATAAGTTAACTGTTATAGTTTGCTTATTTCTGGGTATATGTTGATCAAACCTGGCCAATTTCTTTATTTTATACCAAGCTATTAATATTTAACTAAAAAACACACTTTATAACTTCCCCCTCTTCTGTAGCAGCAAACCTATCTACTCGTAAAACCCAATGCTATTTAAATAGATTTAAGTTAAGAGTCAAATCAGGCAAATGGAAATTCGCTTAGTATGCAGGTTTGCTGCAACGGGGGTATTTCTTGGTATATAGAGCGATTTTATATTAATTTAAATCTGGCTCTTGATAGTTTGGCGTTTTAACTCAAACAACTATATATTTTTAACTATAGCTGGTTTCATAATAAAATAACTTAAGAGATGAGAACAAATTGGCATAATCTAGTCGACATTAGAGACGATACACTACTTATTTTACAATAATTCGACGATAAAGGTATGGCATTGATTTTTTCAGTTTTTCTTTTTGATAGTCCTTATGGAACACCTTTTCACCAGTGTGTCTTATTTATGTGTATTTTATGAGTTTTTCTAAATAATTTATCCTAGATGTTACAGCGGGTGGATAGAATATTTTTATTTTATGATATTCTACAAAATGTATAACATATGATTTACTTTGTATCTGGTCGGTCACACAACTTCTAAAAGTGACAAATTTAATCTATCAACAGTTATAAGAAACTTATAGTGTATTTTATACCATGGGAAATCATATAATTAATTTATTCATCTATTCACTTCAGATTTTAAAACATGTTCCTATTTGGTAGAGCTATAGGCAAGCTACGTTTCCTATTTTTACCTCAACAACTTATCGTTATTCAATAAAACTACATATTTTAAACTTTTTCTCACCCCGTGAAATTTATAACAAAGTATTTAAGCAATTACATTTAAAAACGTACACTTTAAACTTATTCTAAGGTAGTAAATTCATATTTAGTTACCCAAACTTAAGTGTAACAGACGTCAAACCAGGCCTAATATTAGAAAGTAGGACGATAATTCTTCAAATAGTATCTAAATAATATATTTCATACATTCAAATTTTTTTCCCAAGATTTTAACATGCAAGTACAGCACGAGAAACTGCAGTTTGAGTCTACATCAGCATGTACAGCCGCGATCCTCACCGACGAGGTGGCCGAGTGGTTAAGGCGTTGGACTGCTAATCCAATGTGCTCTGCACGCGTGGGTTCGAATCCCATCCTCGTCGCAAACTTTTTATCACGCATTTAAGTGTTAAAATTGTTATATTTTCATAACAAACACATAACAAGTTCGTTTTGGCTTGTTTTAAGTATTTTGTTTGTCTAGTCGTAAATTTTCAGTTTTCTGAAATAATATTTTGATGGTTGTAGCACTTGTAGGCTACATTTTAATGCACTTGACCTTAACCGTGCACTAATTTGCTGGGATAAACAATTTTGAATTTATTTATAATTTAGGCTATTTATAAAAGTTTTAAAACAAATTTCAGGAACTGAATTGTGTTTAAGCGGTAAGTTAATAACTTAAAACTTTATAACATTTATTATTAAAAGAATGTGTTGGATTTTTGTATTCAGCAAATAGACCCCTAAATATTGATTTTTATAGACATATTGGGTATCAATTTAAAGCTCTTATCCTCTAGATGTGCCTTTTGCGGGTTTAGATGATATCCCGTAAAAACCCTTCGTCATTTAGGCTTCTAAAATTTGAGAGTTTTGTTGTCAATAGTATGAACTTTTTTCAAGTTTACATTTGTTTACATCAAAACAGATGGCCATAATACAATTTTGTTTACATCGACACGAAAATGGGGTTATCGTTACTGTTAGTTGGTGATGTTTTATTGAATTCAAGTAAAATATTGTAATGTTATCTATAAGTATAAAAGAGGATGTTTGTATATATATTTGTTTGTTTGTTTGTTTGGGGGTGATAAACTCGGACACCGCTGAACCGATTGCCACGAAACTTGGTACATACGTGTAGAATGTCATGGAATAGGTTTATACACCATCAATTTCGTGATCCGTCCAATAGGCTCCGCCCCAGTGGCTCTGGAGTTTCCCATGTTAACCTTATGAGAAATGGAATTAATGAATCTTAACAGCTGTTTCAATTAAACAAGTTGGTTCTGTTCTATGATGTTCAATAGCATTAAAGTTACAAGGATTACCAACAGGGTGCAGCACTATTATTTCTTTTACATTTATGACAACAGCTAATTTGCAACCAAAAAGGTGAGTGAGCGTAGCGAACGAGCTAACCTGAAGGCAAGTGAGCGTAGCGAACGAGCTAACCTGAAGGCAAGTGAGCGTAGCGAACGAGCTAACCTGAAGGCAAGTGAGCGCAGCGAACGAGCTCCAACCTAAAGGTGAGTGAGCGTAGCGAACGAGCTCCAACCTAAAGGTGAGTGAGCGTAGCGAACGAACTTCAACCAGGACGTGATTGAGCCATGCGAACGAGATCATCTTGAAAATTAAGAAGTTAAACGGGGCAAAGCCCGCGGGTTACAGCTAGTTAATTGTATAAAATGTAAAGAAGAAAATGACTTTGTGAGTATTGTAGATTTCGTGTTTTGATGGGATTTGCAATAGAAAATAGTAAATTAAAAAACTTATTTTGAAGTCAGTAAGTTAGTGAAGCTGGCTGCTAGTATGTACTAATCAAGTCAATATTGATGTTTTTTAATGGTGTTTAATAGGTTATATTTTTTCAATTAGATTTGTAATTAATATTGTTTAATTTAGATTGTAATATTAAAGTAAAAGAGTCTTTATAAAATACAGTTTTGTTTATCCCATAAGCAAATATTATCGTCACGACATTCTTTTAATCTGAAGAAAAGTTTTCCCAAAAGAAAAATTCAGTAAATAATGTAAAGTTATATTTTCTTGTACAAGAAAAAACAATTCAAACATTTTTACCAAGTGGGTAAGCCTTTTAATGCATGAGATTTAAATTCGTACATAGTGGATGTAATCATTTAGTAAAATAATAACACTTGTTTAGTATTTAATAAATATCAGTTTTTATGTGTTCACATTTTTAGATTCCAATCAATCATAAGCATCAATCATTATCTTAAGCATTAAAACATAAATAGGCTAAATTAAAATAATTAAATTAAATATGTAATGGATGAATGCGGTTGTTTACTAACTTCAACTTGAAGAACTTTTTGATCGTAAAGAAATAATTCTTTTACATATTTTTTGTCCTTAAACACTTTCAATAAATATGATTTGAACGATTATTTTTACGAAGAATGTTAACAGAATATCAGGCATTTATTATTCGAGTCACGAAAAAAAGATCTTTATAAATCCCCAAATATAACCTCCAAAACGGTAAAAATGACGGTTCAAAAGTAATTGCAATTTTTTGTGATTTTACCCATGGATCATCATAGTCACTCCCAACACAGAAGCAAGCTAATGGGAGAGTGTGTGTCAAAATGTTGATACCGTTTATAGAAGAAGGGATGCCAAGAAATAGATTTTACATACAATCTCCTATAAAAAAACGTAATGCCATGCGGATATTCGCTTGAGTTAAAGTCAAGGAAAAATATAGGGTTTAATGTAGTTTATACAATCATAGTTTATACAAGTTATGCTTAATGACATACAAACCCTGTTATATGTTCTGATATGAAAATTAAGAAAATCTTATCAACTAATAATCAATACAAGTGCACCTGTTGTTCGAATTCGAGCAATTGCAAAGTATTACAGGCGTTATATTTCAAAACAAATAACAGTCACAATTTCCTATGACAATTAGTCAACTCAAAGATAATGTAATCAATCACTCCACTCCAGTTACCGAAACTCAATGAACTGGAAACGAACTCACTCTGAAAACGAATGCTCTTGTGTGTATCGTGTGTTTACTATGAACAGCTGTAATTAATACAAATTATTCGTCTGTTTAAGTAAACAACATCTTTTCTTCACAAGAAATGTATTGGGATTTTGATGACCTGTGGGGCAAAGCCCGAAGACTTTCATTACAGAAATTGGTGAAAGGGGGCGTCTACACAAAAAATACTTAATTTTGACACATCGTTTGTAAAAATCCGTCCATTATTATCGGAGAAGTAGCGTTTCGTAGAAATTGCCTTCACGTATTATATATAAGGACACATCGGGCTGTATAGTTATTTAGATTGCAAGAACAGTGGCGGTTCCAAGGGGGTGGGGATACTAAATCCCCCCATTGAACCCTAGAAAAAAATTTTAGCATAGCACATTTTGTTTTAACGTAACGAAGATTTTTGAGTAGCCTACAGTCCTTGATGGCAAACACTGCTTTAGAAACTAAAGAAAGTCACCAAACGGCTTGATATACTGTAGACCGTGCCAAATTTGTAAGGGGGCCCCCATACCCCTCTCATTTCTTTCAAACCCCGGTAGCCCTCATTTAACAAGATACCAGAACCATCACTGTGTAAAGAATTCGGTTGCTGCTCTTAACTCTATATAAAAGCATAGACTAAAGGAGCAGGTCTAAATTACAAGGAAATGTGGTTCGGATTCCACTATAAGATGTAGCTCCCTTAGTTGCCATTGTAGTTAACAGTCCTGTCTAAGGAACATGTACTATATTAGTCAGTAACAAGACTACAAGATTGCACCACTCTACAGTAATCTTGATTGGCTTAAAATATCTACCTTCGTATGGTTGCCATTTGAACAAAAGTATTAAGTACTCTTTAATATATGATAAAAGGTAGGTCCCCGTACTCTAGACCGTACATTCTTAGACTTACTCAATACCTACAGATGTACTTGAAGACTGCATGTACCTATTGTTCCAGATGGAGTACAGAGCTCGACGGAGGGTAGCTACTCCCCCACATGCAGTCCACACCCCTTAGCCTTGTGTCTGGGGTCCGTGTGTCCCTCCCAGACTGTGGTGCGAGCCACGCGGTCGCCCCCAGGGCCCCTCACTCACTACGGGCTCCACGGGCCCCCAGCCAGCAAGATCAAGAGCCTCGGTCTCACCTGTGTAGTCTGTGGGGACACCAGCAGTGGCAAGCACTACGGGATACTCGCATGTAACGGATGCAGCGGCTTCTTCAAGAGATCGGTGCGGAGGAAGTTGATCTACAGGTGGGTGATTTGACACATTTAAATAAGGTCCATTCAAAGGCTGTTGAGGGAAAGTTTTTCAAACACATGTTTTGTGGATGTGTATTAAAGTCCGAGACGCTAACCGCTAGGGTAGCAACGTGTAGCAACACAACCCCCTGGTTTGTGACGTCAGTTTTGCACAGGGGGTAAAATTCCAAGGTGATAAAAATCTGCTACCCCCAACCATTGTGTACGTTTGTGGTCCTAACAATAATGTACCTCCCTCGAATAATTGTTTCAACGATGTTTTTTTGGGCATAGTAGCATTCTTACTATGGAAAGCTAACTGGTCCAGGGGTAGAGCGCGAGGCTTCTATCTCTAAGGTCCCAGGTTCAAATCCTGCCAATCACCGATTTTAAGCGTTTAGTTATGTGGTTCATCTAGGCATACCTGAAGTCCAAGCGGTACCGGGCTTAATTCTAGCGTCCTATGGGTATATGAATGTAAAACATTGAAAAGTAGTGTTTTACTATGTCCCACAAAAAAGTGTGAACTTACAAACTAAACTAAAAAACCCCGTTTAAAACAGGTAGTATGTTTAGCTATAGATAATAGTACACTATTTCCATATACGTCTAATAATTTTTATGGAGTTTAGAACAAAAATAATTTAGTAGTAGTTTGTAATTTTCTTACAGTTTTCATTGAAACCACTCAACAACAGTAATTCTTATAACCTTACCACAATTTCCATCAGAAGCGACACGGACTAACGCAGTAATTACTCTTAAAAATATGGTTGTAAGATACGTTGGTAAGGATAAAAGCTACGTGCGACTTAGTTCATGGGAACGTAGCAAAAAAGAGGTTCGTTAAAAAACCAACAGCAACGAGTAAAGATAAAAATTCAATAAGCCATGTACTTAAACAATCAAACGTGTAGCACAATAATTACTAACTGTTGTGTAATTAATTACACCTTTATAACATCTGCATAAGAGTAGACGTGGATATTCTAAATGCTGTCTCACAAAATAGAATTGACTTACAACATGACTCACGTAAAGAAAACCCTACGATAGAATCAGTAATTCAAGTCTCAACAGATAAAATCTCAAAAGAACAGAAAACCAATAAAAACAACCGGGATTCAATATCGTGATCTCCTTTTATAAATGGAACGTAGGATCTCGGTTCCGTTCCCAGGGGCCCTCTCTCTCATAAACTTATTGGACTCATTCGGTAGTTTTTGATTGGGCCGCAGCGCAGCGCCGTGTCGGGGCTTTGCGGAATTGAACCCTCAAATCCCTCTTCAGATTGATTCTGATACCTCTCTCTCTCTCCCCTTCCAAAACACCCTCTCTTCTTGTGACACTTCCCTCTAATTCCATCAGAGCAAAGTTTCGTTCAAGAATGTCATTCAAATAGCATTACATCAACGGATTCTGTTTTTGTCAGGGGATTATGAAAAGATTGGAAGTTTCTGGTGAGTTTTGGATCGGAGCGGTTGAAAACTTTTCAAAATGTTTTTCTTTGGGATATTTGGAAATAGTTTTATCCTTCAATGTGTTATTTTTAAACAAACATATCTTAATTAGACGGTTACAATGAAATACTGTTTATAACTTTTTTTTTTTATTTGTTGTGGACACATTATTATGATTGCGTAGAGATTAAATAGCTTTTACATACGTAAACCCACCTGAGAATTATTTTTCGGAGACCTCAGACTTTTAGCATACAGAAATATTGCGTAGAACGATGAATTGTTGACTTAATTGCAGATTACACAAATTTTTCTGAGAGGTAAACCTACACTTTTAATCAATATAAAGTTAAGTATATCGATTTAGGAGATGGGTCATCCCTTTGACCCATCTGGGTTTCACCACTATAACTCTGTTCTAATAAAGTTTTTTGTAGTTTATATTAGATTGTTTATTAGGTACACTTTCATACCTGTTGGCAAAAACAACCGAATGAGTAATATTGATTATTGGATTGTTTAATTCGATGTATCGTTTGGTTGGTTAGGTTAGGTTACTCTTACCTAACTAACCAAACGATATATCGAATAATCAATATATTGATCGATATTTTCATTCGGTTGTTTGTGCCAACAGATATATAAGTGTACCTGATCGCCAAAAGCTTATCGTGATATTTTGATTTTAGTAACTATGTAAAAATCAACAAAACTATTTGCTACCAAATATTTAATAACAGAGACCTCTTGTAAAAATATCACAGCGAAAAAAAAAATAAAATAATAGTCTTTATACTGTACCTCGATTTACTTATTCTACTCACACTGGTAATTAAAAGTTTCAAAGAAATTACCTGTTTTTTACCCATTTCTCCTTTTTCCCAGATGCCAGGCAGGAACCGGACGCTGCGTGGTAGACAAGGCTCATCGTAACCAATGCCAGGCTTGCAGACTCAAGAAATGCCTCAGCATGGGCATGAATAAAGATGGTGAGTGAGCATGATTGTTTTACGTTTGTGGAGTTAAATCAAATATATGATTTGAAAGAAATATTTAAACTTGATCTTCACTATGGTGTCATCAGTCAGATTTTCACAAGATACTAAAACTTGTTGCACTTATTTGCATCTTCCAATGCCGTACTGTTACTGTTACTATAGAAAATTTGATAATTTAAAATCCGTATTGTGATATAGCCTGTTGGGATAGCTAAAAGGATTTGATCGATACCTTATCACTCATACGTTGATGATTTAACTCCTAAATTTGACAGAAAAGTAATCTATTTGTTTAGAATGGAAATTTGTGTATTTTGTAAAACCAATTTTTGAAAATCTTGACTAGTACAGTCGTTTTCCATCTTGAGTGAAAGTCCAAGTCAATTTTTAACTAGCTGAATTATTTCAAAAATCTATATTATTTCCTTTACAAAAAAAATACACAATTTCCAATATAGTTTCATAATTTTGAATTTTAACATCGCACTTTTAATACTTTAATACTTTTTCCTGAAATGGCGACCATTTACTTGTTTAGTGATGAATGAAGACAACACCTTTTTCAATTTAATCAAGTCAAATATTATATAAATGCTGAAACAGTAACACTCAGTTAACAAAAAGGTCAAGACGATCAATATTGACATTTATTTAGACAAATGCACAACACAAAACACAACATTAAGCAACCTACTTGGGCATCTTCCACTCCATGATTGCAAACTCCGGACACATCTCCACTTTCTTCCTGAGCGCCTCACACTCCTTCGAGGACGTCCACAGACTCTTGGGGCAGTTGAGGAAGCAGTCGCGGCGAAGACATTCCTCCAGTTCGAACGCTCCGCTCTTACATTCGCCGTTGGAGTCGATTTGAGAAGATATCTTGGCGTGGCACTTGTCAATAGTGGAAGAAAGGTTCTTCTTCTCCGGATATGTGGCTGTGAGAAGCTTCTTCACCGCAGGCAAGTCCAGCTTTCCCTCTGCAGTCAAAAGGTTGCTCTCCTCGAACACACACTCAGCTGTGCAGACTAGCGCGCTTTTTGCTTCATCGAAGTCCATTTTGGAGGGAATCGGGAACTTGGCGGTGCAGACGGGAATGTTCTCCTTCATGACGTCGGGCAATTTCTTCTCCTTCTTGCAGCACTCATGGGGCTGTGGAGTTTTATCCCCGGGCTTCGGTGGGTCACATTCGTCCCCCAAAGTACCCGCGACTACAAACACAAGTAGATACGTCCACTGCATGGCTGACACTGGCGCTGTCAGCTGGAGGCTTGTATTTATCACACCATGACAGAAGGACGTGACTTGGTGTTTTGCGCGGAAACAGCTCTTGTGACTGCAGCTATTTTGCACCGTGAACATGTTATTCTGCCAAGTGCTTTTGTTCGCTGCTTCATTGAAACGTCATATTAAGGTTGATTTTTGATGATTTGGGCAAGGTTTTGTGGTGTCCGGTTTGTCTTTCTATTTGTGACATAACTTTATTTGTAATGACGTGTAATAGATTTTACTAATTGCTCCCTTTATTATCTGGTGGCATATATTACATGTTACCGGTGATGAAGTAAATAAAATTCAACAACCATATACCATATACTTATTTTCCCCCTCAAAGGCGTGCAATATTACACACTGTCAGGTCAACATGAAACTAACGTATTGGTTTTATGCTACAAACGTGAATTTAAGATTGAAAATAATCATATTGTGGTGGATAATTACTTTGAGAGCATAGAGCAAAACTTTATACGTAAGAAATCTTGCATACTATCATTGACCATATATACCTACCTATAGATATATAGTATATATAGCTATAATATATATGATATATATCTATTATATTATTAAAGTGATACAATCAAATTTTATGTAAACGGTTCACATCAAAATGAAGCTTAGAGTGTGTAGATTTGCCGAAAATTATTGATATGGACGAATTTCCTAAGGGCTCTGCCCCACAGGCTGATTTCCAAAGGGCTACGCCTGGCATACTTCCAAAGTTTACATGATTTAATTTAATACATGATTTAATTTAATATAGTTAATGAAACAGCTGGTCAGTACAATGAACTGGTGTTTGTTTATTTACTCGAAAAAGATGTTTGTGGTGCTTTATGTAGATTTAGGAGGGTTATGTTTGGTTTTAAAGAAAGGTTGTATATGTTTTGTAAAGTATTGCTCAAAGTTTCATTTTTTAATTTATATAGTAAGCTACATATGAAGAGAAGAGGCTAGACTATTGAAGAATTATGGTAAAACATATCATTCATGAATCATCAATATGAAGTAATTGATGCTATTGCTACATTAAGGTATGTTATCATATTCTTATGGATCTATTAACATCAAAAGTAGGGGTTTGAAAGTAAATAGGTTTACGCTTTTAAATAAGTTTATATTTTCAAACTAAATCATAGAGTTGCCGTTTTTAAAAACACACATCAGAATTACTTTAACAGCTCTCTAGGTCACATTTTTATCCCGTTGCAAAGCACGGGTATAGCAGCTTGTATATATATATTGACTATATATACCTATAGGTATAAATAGCTATATATACTATATACCTATAGGTAGGTATGTATGGTCAATGATAGCATGTGCAGAACGACACACTGCATATTTGTAATCGGTACAGAACATTGATAAGAGTCACGTGACGAATTTATACCTGTTGTAAAATAGATGCGGTCTCTTGTATTTAAATGATCAACTTGGTCAGCTTCTAAACCCTTCCTTGATGATAAATTTGTCTTCAGTTACTAAAGTAGACATCCCTCATCTAGACTAGCAAAGCGAACGCGTTGTCGAATTATCTCAATGTGCTAATATCTAAATTATATTTTAGGTTTTATTTTTAATGCTATGATATTCTATGGGATAATTAAATAGGCCATAGTGTACAGTACAAGGCCCTTTCGGTTTTACATGATTTAAAAAAAAACTAGTTGTAATGCCCGTGCTTCACCACGGGGCAAGAATACTTGGGAGAATAATGAGGGTCCCTAAAATCTACTGTAAAAAAACAGTTACTGGCACTTACCGTGGGTTACAATATACTGTCGAATCTCAATCGTACATATTTCTTATTTCAATGAAAATCTCGTGTGTATTTGCATTAAACTGAGTGTCAGAATAAAAAATAATAACTTTATCGTAATGTAAACATCTATGAAAAATGATGAGAATCAAAATATTAACTCCGCGGAAAAAATATTAACAAAAACTATAAAAACCCAAATATTTTTATCAGATCCTTTAGGAGGGGTTTTTCGAAAACCTGATATTTTTGGGAGAATTATAACACCAAGACTTCTCATTCAAGTGGTTGATAGATGTGCGGCTTAGCGTTTTCTCAATAGTTCGTAATCTTTGTTCGCTTTGTATGATGGCGAGTAAAAAATAAGGCAATAATTTACAACTTACAACAGTTCACTCTGTCGGTGGTTTTATTGAACTAGCACTTAATCTATTTTATAAACTGAACACAACTTCAACATGGAAATGGGGTGAATATTTCTCGTAATGTATCCATGGGTGAATTTAAATTATTTTCAACAGGTCATTGAATTAACACACTTTTACAACGTATCACTATCAGCAATACATACACTTTTTAACCACTCATGGCCGCATCAACACATACATTGTGATATACTGTTTTACCAAAATAAAACGCATATCGCAAACACCCTAATCCTCAAACACACTTTGGTTGAAACAAACACAAATCCGGACCCCGACAGGTGACACGTAGTTCCCGCCTCCGCCGCAGACTCAAGCGTCAGTAGCGCTAGCGTCGCGGATTATCGGATCGCAGAAACAATTTGCCAAGTGGCGCACAAGTGTCGTAAATTAGCCCGTGACACCCCCTCGACGCCATCTTTACTGAAACCGATTCCATTTTGCCTCCCTGTAATTTGCTAAATAGAATTCTCTGTCAAGAGAGAGTTGTTCGCTACAGACGCGGCGCCGACGGTGTTCGGTGTCGCCAGATTTATCTATTTATCCGAACCTCTGTTTTCTGTTTATGTCAATTTGCAGTTAACGCTTTACGCTGCCTTTAACGTTTGGATTTTTGTAGCAAAGTTGCGATTTCATAGTGGAAAGAATAAGTTTGAAATAACGTAATCAGGAAAGATTTTATATCAACAGTGACAATACGTTACGTATTTTTAGCTGAATATAAGATTTGTCTATTTATCCTCCAACAGGGGGAGCGAGCTGATCTAGTAGAGCGGGGGACTTTGCCTCCTGAGGTCCCGAGTTCAAATCCCTCCAAATCACCAATGGATTTTTATCTAAGTGGTACTGTAATGCCACAACCACTAGGTATACCCTGAAGTAATGTGAAAACAATCCCAGGCTTATGCAAAAAATAACCTCGAACGTATATTCTCAGTAAAATGCAAAGTACTCCCTTTACTCTTATTTCGTTAGCATTGTTGTATCATAGATTAAGCATACTCCCTTAGGGGGTAAGGGGTCATAGATAATAGGGGGTAAGGGAGTATGTTTAATCTATGGTTGTATTTTTGTCGTAAATTTGCGTTTGTAGAGGTGTTCAAAAATGCGTCACAATCTGGAATAATTTGTTTATTTACGATTTGTAACACAGCAACACATTGTGGTGTATTTTTAAGTTATATGTTGAGGGTGAATGAATCATTGACTTTTGGATAGGTAATTTTGAACGTCCTACAGTATGTATGATGGAACCTGTCTGTTGATCATCTACCTGGGACTGTACCAGGTGTTTAACCATTGACCAGTCCTCAGGTAGATTTGGGGTCAGGAGACTGGTTCCATCATACAGACTATAGGACTTTGCTTTCCCTTCGTATCATAGGACACTAGGGTCTTGCTCGGAACCAGACTTTACTTCAAGCTACACCAATACACCTAGAGTCGCGGAAAGATCACATACGACCATTCGTGATTGGCGGGATTTGAACCCGAGGACTATGAGACCGAAACCCTACACTCTA